GGTGTGATCAGCAAATCACCCCAGACCCGGTGGTCCCACGATCTTGTGCCTGTAGAAGCAGGCAGGCCCCTTGGGGGTCTGTCCTTGTCCCCGCCACCAAGCTAGAGGGGGCGTCCCAGCGCGGCCAGGAAAGCGGGCTCCCAGTGCAGCCGAGGCCCTCGCCGTCCTTCTGTCGGCTGCTCACCAGGCACCCACACACCCTGGAGATAGCACTGTTGCCAACTATGGTGATTTCAGTCCTTCTGTTTTTCCTTCCTGGAGACCAGGACCTTCCTGAGTGCGTCCATACGGAGCTCCTCCCATGCACTCCCGGGCCATTTCCTCCACAGGCTGCTCCCTGGGGAGGGGTGAGTCACTAGATCTGTCACTGTCCCTCTGCAGAGGGGTAGGCTGCAGTGAGGGGCTGGGGGTCCCAGTAGGGTTTTCTTTGGCCCTTTCCTCCTGGCTCAAGAAAAGCAGAGTTCTGTTCTAACTTGGAGCACGTCTAAGTGATGGCCCAAGCCTGGCAGGCTGCTGGTTTTCTCTGGCAGGGAAGGAGCTTTTCACAGCTTTCGGCCGTGGGAGGGCTGCTGTCTCTGGGGACAAGAAGACTTCCTGCTCAAACCCGCTGCGGCTGGTTAACCATGCGACACCAGGAGAGGGCGCCCGAGGACCAGTCAGCCCTCTCATCCTGGGGTCCCTCCCGCCACCCAGCCCCCGGCCCCCCAGCCTCTCCGTCCCTCGGACCCCAACCCTTGACTCCTGGAGCCCTGACCAGGGAGCCCAATGATGGGCTCCAGTGGAAACTGCCTTTAACAAGCCGGGTCGTCTTTGCAAATCATGTCTCCCCCTGGACCCCCATGTTCTTCATCTGGGAAGTAGAGATTAAAATGAAAAACGAAAGAACCACCACCCTGTCTTGCCAACTGCATGGAACATGAGCCTGTATGAAGCTCCAACCCGCTGCAGCTGAAGACGTGGCTTAGAAAGTGCAGGGCATTGTGCGCACGCGGGCTTGCTAAACCATTTTTGGTTTAATAAATGCACTGCCATCTGGGGGGAGACGCCAGTTGCGGAATGTATCAGCCTTTAAAAGGGGGAGGTGATGACAAATATTTAAGTCAAGATCAATTTTCTGAAGCAATAGAGAAAAAGCCAGAGATAAATGCTAGTAGTTAACCAGAAACTGTCACCCATCTCTTTTACTTCCGCCAGATTATATGAATACACAGTTTATGGAAAAAGAGAAAAAAGTAAAATGTTTATTTGTGAAATAAACAGAAGAAGGCAAGTTGTTGAAATATGGAATCAAGCCGATCTTCGTGGCTACTTTGCTCTTTGATATCTCAGGTTTGGAGTTACGGTGTTTTCACACATCATTGCCAAGCGTGGGGACATCCGTCACTCCTGGAGCCTTGTCTTGAGTCAGTTCTGACCCTGTCTCTTGTTCGGAGGTGGCCTCCAGCTCTCGGGCATGGGTCCCCTCTCTTCGGTGTCACAGTGACTTCCAACCCGAGTGCAGTGACCCTCCCTCTTCCTGGTCCTCCTGCAACATTGGTGAGCAGTCATGCCCTCTGAGTTTGAAACAAGAATTAAGATCTGCATTCACAAGTGGTGACTGGAGGGTGGGGGAGACAGTCTGACAGGGTTCCTTTAACCTGCCCACGGCGCATTCTCCACGACCGTTTCAAGCAGACCTCACTCTCCCCAACCTCCCTATGTGCCCTTCCTTCCTAGGCACCCGAGGACCAAGTGTTCTGCTCCCGGAAAAGGGAAGAACAGCCACCAGCTGGGCACTGGCCTGTGAGCCTTCCAGCCTGCCTCGTCCACACCGGCTTCTCCCCTGCCCTCCTGTAACAAGCGGCGAGGGGTCCCTTGGAGTCTCACTCCATTGGTTCGCTGACCCCACCCTGCGTCTTGATTTCTCCTTCTCTCTTGGATCAAAATGCTCAGTCGCTCCCGTTGCAAAAGAAAACCTTGCTCCCAGCTGCCCGCCTTCTGCTCTCATTCCCAATCAGGCTTGTCAAAAGAGCTCTCCACACATCTTCCTGCCCTCTCCCATGTCTCCTGATCCTCAGTTCACTCCAGGGGGGGGTCCTGACCCTGACCTTGCTTTCTTGGCACTGCTTTTGCTGGGGTCACCAGTGGCCTCCATGTTGTTAAACCCGGCAGACACAACCAAACATCTGTCCGACTTGCCCTCTGAGTCCCTAATAGGCCAGTTGCCATCTCGCTCCTTCTCCGGTCCCTCCCTCTCATTAACTCCAGGGACCCCGTTCTACTGGTTGGCTTTCTTCCTCTGTTTCCTTTACAGGCTTTTCCACGTTCCCTCATTGGACTGCCTAATGCTGGAGGTCTTCAAGGCTCTATGTTGCATCCTTGTTTTTCTTTCAATCTTTTCAGTATAGGAAATTTCAAACATAGATAAAAATACACTTGATCTTAGCCAAAAGGCCGAGAAGCGATCGAACATAGATAAAAATAGAAAGAAGAGTATAATGAACCCTTAGGTACTCATCACCCATCTTCAACAATTACCAACTTAAGGCCTACATATTCATAATAGTCATTCTTCCCCTGGTTTACTTTGAGGTAAAGTACCATACTACCCATTATTTTATGTGTAAATGTTTGGTATATTTGTCTAAAAGATAAGGACTCTTAAAAACATAGCCTTCGGGGCGCCTGGGTGGCTCAGTGGTTAAGCGTCTGCCTTCGGCTCGGGTCATGATCCCAGGGTCCTGGGATCGAGCCCCGCATCGGGCTCCCTGCTCAGCGGGAAGCCTGCTTCTCCCTCTCCCACTCCCCCTGCTTGTGTTTCCTCTCTAGCTGTCTCTCTGTGTCAAATAAATAAATCTTTAAAAAAAAACAAAAACAAAAACAAAACACATAGCCTTCATATCATTAACACACTTCAAGTCTATTTAACAATAACTAGTTAGGTCCATGGGTTCTCTCTTTAGGAATCTCATTGACATTCATGGTCTTAAGCAGTCTTCATAAGCCAATGACTCCAGGCTTAAATCTTCAATCCAGATCTTTCTTTCAGCTCCAAAACCCTATTTCTAATTCTCGATTTGACATTTCCTCATGCTGGGTTTGGAGGCACCTCAGATGTAATGTGTCCCAGACAGAGCTCATGATTTTCACCCTCACTCTGCTCTTCCTCTGGGCCAACTCTGTCTTGGCAAATGTACCAGAACCCTGGTACACCTCCTTCATTCACCTTTACCCCCGCCTCCAATCCATCACCAGATCCCGTGAATTCTTCCACCAGAATATATCCTGACAAGCCATTCATTTCTCTCATTCTCTCTACACAGTCATGCCAAGCCACTGCCCTCCCTCACCTGCACTGCGGAGGCCTCTTAATGGCGTTGTTGCTCTCACTTGCACCCTCTGCTGAGCCTCAGCTACACACAGAGCAAGTCCATGTCAGAAGAACTATCTGTCCTCCCAGTTAGTAAATTATCACTGCCCTGAGCCACTCCCCAGCCCAGGGCTCCAGCCCTATCCCAACCACCAACCTCCCTCCCTCCGGTAGGCCCCAGCAAGGGACCTCAGAGACCTTGCTATCCTTGGAGGCTCTGTGCTCAAATATTTAAAAATTCATATGGTATTATGATGACCTAAGACTTTTGGTACCTCCCCTAGTGGGATTCAAGGGAAGATCCAGAAAACTTGTGTTCTCCTACCCTCCAACAGCCGGACTAACAGACTAAAAAATATATATGTAGCCCTACCTTGGAGGGGAGAGGGAATTGTGATGGGAGGGTAGATGAGAGGAACTTTTGGGGTGGCTGGTGATATTCTCTTCTAGATCGGGGTGGTGATTACACAAATACATTGACTTTATGAAAATCAATTGGGCCGAGCACTTAAAATTGTGTACTTTCCTAGCCTCTGTTATATTTCCCTAGAGTTTACTTAGAGCATATCACCCAGAATTTCCCTGTGGTTTCTGCTCAAGGGGGGAGCAGTCTCTTGATCCATTTCTCTTGTTTACATTCTCTCCAGAAGGTTCCGGTACTGTCGTGGGCTCCTGTACATCACTGAGGAGCTCTGCAGGGGTCTGCCCTCCCAAACACCATGGGTGCTGCACTGGAGTCCCAGCCTCTGTGAATGGATGGGTTGGAACGGGCCTCCTCTCCTCTCTCACTCCTCCCCTTCAGCCTCCGCAAGATCGACGACGCCAGGCTATTCAGGCAACGGGGAATATCTTACCTAGGGGCTGGGAGAGTTTCTGGAGTTACTGAGCACCCGGACAAAGATTTAAGTTCAGGCTATTCTGCACTTCCCCTTGAACCTCACAGGGGGAGATACCTAAAGATTCAGGCCCTTAACGTAAAACCGTGAAAAGCCACTCAATCTCACTGCTAATAAGGGGAAATGCAAATTGAAATCCCCGTGAGTCACCATTTCATGCCCATGAGCTTGGTAAAAACAGAAAAGTCTGTTCATACTAAGTGTGGGCAAGGATGTGGTGAGTTCAAACGTTTGCCAGTGGGAGTCTAAATTGGAGAAACACTTTCCCGAGCAGTTCGGCGATAGCCAGAAGAGCTGAAGATGCCCCTGCCTCATTGCCCCAGGCATCCGTCATTTCTCGGTCTCTGCCACAGGGGAGCACGGGAGTCTGGTCAGGAAGAGAATCCTCTTCTAAGATCATGTGCAACAGAAAAAAAAAGGGGGGGGGGCGGAAACAACCAGAAAATAAAATTTTGACCTTGTGGCCTCTTTATGTAACAGTGATAATGAATGAACCACAGCCACACGTATCAACATTGTTACAAACAAAGACATAGGCTGAGTGAAGAAAACAATTCATGCAAGGAATGTTCGGTATGGCACCACGGGGACCAAGCTTGAGGACCTGCAGATCAGTACTACAAAATGCGTATGGATGCATAAGTGTGCATTGAAAGGATGAAAATGTTCACGGGAGTGACCACTGCGTGACAGCGGATGCTTTAGGAGGAGGGCGGGAGGGGTCCACAGGGCACCTGAGCTCAGCTCTTGTTCCATTTCTTAGGAGTGAAAATATGAAGTAAATATGGCTTAGTGTTAAATCTGATAGAGCCAGGTGGTGGGAGGATTTTTATTGTCTGTGCTTGTCCGTATGTTTGATATTTCCGATAAAATCGATCAATTAATGAAAAAAGCTCCTCCCACTCCAAATGACTCACCTGTCCCGCGTTCAGTCTTTGCTCCCCAGGACTTGCCCCCTCTTCTTCAAGGAGCTTAGTTGGAAGAATCTAAAGCACAAAGTGGAAACTTCCACACTTCTCCCAGGCTAAGCCCCTCCGTGAAGTCCTTTCCTTAACACCACATCCTACACCAAGGACCTTCGGTCTGCGTAGGGCACAGTGTCAGTCTGATGCAAGCATGCTGTTTAGGAGCCGCACTGGCCGGGTCTGAACGCTGGCTCTGCCACTTGTCTGCGGGACCTGGGACAAGTTCCTTCGGCTCTCTGTGCGCCAGGAGGGAGGGAGTGCCAGCAGAGAGGGTGGCCCAGGTGGCTGGAGAGGGGAGCAGGGGCAGCTCCGGGGGGCAGGTGACCCTCACCCTCTGCTGAGCTGGGCTACTTGGCACAGACGGACCAAATCATATTTCTCTGTGGCGGCAGGAAAGGGCCACATGGGGGATTGAGTTATCTTAGCAGCAGTCCTTTCCGTTTCAGTCCTACCGTGTGTGCATGCTCACTGGGGACACCAAGAGAGTCTATGTGAAGCAAATTTGCTGTAGATCGCAGCAGACCCTTGGCTGGGGCAGGAAAGAAAGCAAAGACTCCCCAGCCAGTTGCAGACCAACCGACAGGCCCTGCCTCTGAAAACACTTTCATGGGTTTCCCTTTTTACACCAAGAGTTTCAGGGAAGCATGGATACGCTGCCCACCCACACTCTCTGCCGAGCGCTCCGGAATGGCCACGAACCCCTGGCACCTCCAGGCTCCCGCCTCTTGGAGGTGCTACGGCCGCATCCCTGGGGCGCCCGTGGCCTGAAGAGACCCCATGGTCTCTTCCATCCTGTCTGCTTTATCTACCCCTACATACTGTCACGTGCATGGCCTTCTGTGATGCTTGTGGGCCTTGCTGAGATGGGGGAAGGGGGAGAGTTATGGGTTGAAGTGGGGTCCCCCCTCCAATTCATATGTTAAAGTCTTAACCTCCAGAACCTCAGAATGTGACCCGATTTGGGGATGGAGTCATTGCAGATGGAACGGGTTAAGACGGGTGGGCCCTTCTCCAAGATGACCGAAGTCCTTATAAAAAGGGGAGACGTGGAGACAGGTGCACACACGGAGAGCACCATGTGAAGATGAAGTCAGCGGTCGGAGTGATGTGTTGACAAGCCAAGGAAGGCCCAGGACCGCGCTGGAGGCCGCAGCAGGGTCGTGGAACAGACGCCCCACTGCCCCCGAGAGGAACCAGCCCTGCGGACGCCTGGGTCTTGGACTCCGGTACCCAGCACTGGGAGGCAGTGCACTTCTGTTGCTAAAGCTCCCCAGTCTGTGGGCCGTCTGTCTGGCAGCCGCAGCGAACTAATCCAGGGACTAATATTACCCCTTTATGACGGAGGCACTGGGGACCCCCGAGAGCGGGGCTTGCTCAAGGTCACACAGCTGCTAAGAAAACCGAGCTAACACTTGATTGCCTCGACACTGTCACGGGACGTTTGGCGCTTTATAGGAGAGAGTCAGGGGCTGGGAGGAAAAACATATTGCAATTTATTCTTCTATTAAGCATGACCGGTGACAACTGCTTTCTGGGTGGTCTGTTCTGAGCTGGATCTAGACGGTATTTGGGGAAAACAATACTTTCCACTTATCACCTGTACGAGATCATATAACAAGCCAAGTTAATGTCCTGGGACTCGTCATAGTGCCTGCAGCCTTCAGACACGCTGTCAGCACGCTGGGTAATTAGAACGAGCCTGGCATGTTTGGCGGCTTAATTTACGGCACCTTCGGCATTTTGGCACAGCCTTGGCCTTCTGATCCAGGCGTCCTTTCTGCTTTGTATCCTTGGGTGTGGATGATTCTCAACTTCTTGCCTTGGGAGCAACCCCCCTGCTCCTGAGACTCTGGTTCTGACACAGCTGGTTCCCACGCTGTGCTGTTGGCTGGAGCATGTCGAGGGGGGAAGGACAGGGCCCCTGGGGTCCACAAACACGTATTCCAACGCCAGCTGTCCATCCAGAGCTGTGTGGCCTTGGCCAAGCCACATCCCCTTTTGTGCCCTCGTTTTCCCACCAATAACTTGAGGGGCTTGGACGGGAGGATTAGCTCTTTCCAAACTGGGAGGAGGTGGGTGATCTGCAAAGAAGGTAAAAGAGGCCAAGTGTGGGGCTGGCTGACCAGCTATTTTTGGTGTTTAAAACTTCCTTATAAAGTGGTGGGTTTTTCTCCAACATGAGCCTGAGCTGGACACCCACCTGTCAGGCATCCGTCAGTCCAGCTTGGTCCTGTGATCTTGCCCATGCTCACTGGACCCTCTTAGGTGAAAAAGGCAGGAAACATGAATTAATTATGATTTGTACAATTTAATTGGCAAGCAACTCTTCAAATAGAAGTCTTTTGGGGTGGTCTTATTAAAAGGCATGTTTGATTCTAAAAAGGTGGAGAACAACTGGGCTGAGGACCCCAGATTGCTGCCTGCTCTAAAAGCCCGTGATCCCAGCCCTACACTGGATTGGTGCCCTCAGGCTCAGTGATCCAGGTGGTGGGAGCCCAGCATCTGTGATCCGTCTTCGTCAACTGCTGTGTCCCCTAACTTCCCTCCCTCCCCTGGTCATGCCGTATCCTCCTCCCTCCTTGGGTTATAACTGAAGGTCATCTGCTATGAAAGGGTTTCCATCTCCAATTTGTTGCCAGTTGCTAAGATCATCCTTGGCAATTTCTGTATATATCTTCGTGTTGAGAATGACTTTTGAATATGTCTTTGTGTCACACGTGGGTACCTTCCCCGTAAGAAGTGTGACTCCTTGAGCATCGGGATAGAATTACTTACGGCCTGTAACTGGATCTGGGGCCATGGATTCTTCCAGCCCGTGGCCAGGACCTCTGCCTCTGGCACTGTGGTGTCAAGCTCAGTGACGGAGAGTCTCTGAGGGTGAATCAGTGATGGCTGGTGCAGCTAGTCGGGGGCCCGGCCGGGAAGCAAGCCCTGGCCCGACTGATTTTGTAAGCAGTGCTCCTTTCTCTGTGGTGGCATCATGCCATGCCTGTAGGAGGTGGACCCAGAGGGCAGGGCTGGCTTCAAGGGGCCTAGTAACAAAATATAACCTTCGTGGGGAAAGAGAAGTGCCTTCCTCAGCTCAGGGGGTGTCCAAAGGAGCAGCAGGGGTAAGGCCAACTTTAGAGGCAGGTGGAGCAGTCTGCTTCAAGTCTGGCCGAGGGCTGACTCAGGGGTCCGCACTGGTGCAGCATGGAAAGCCATGAAATCACAGACATTGCTATTGTCCACCCACTTCCCTCTTTTTCTCTAGTGATAGAATTCCCTCCCTTTTTTAAAAAATTAGGCACTTAGCTGCACCTCACAAAGGCTACTTTTCCCTGGCTCCCTGGCTATGTGACTAAGTCCTAGCCAACAGGATGCAAGCCACAGTGAGGACGTTTTCTTAAAGAGAAGGAGTGTTCCTTTTTCTTCCCCTTTCCTTCTTGCTGCTCCCTGGAAGGTAGACGTGATGGCTGGTATCAGAGCAGCAATCTTGGCCTTGAAGTGACCTTGTAAGCCACACCTGGTGGGACCACAAAATAGAACGCGCTTCTTCATGACCCTGTGGGGTGTCACACCAGTCCCAGTCCAACTACCTCTGGACTTCTGTGTGAGACAGAAGTAAGTTTCCATTTTTGCTTAAGCCGTTGTTCCTTTGGGGTTTCTGTCTCCTTATCCCAAATTACAGAGAAAGCTTTAATAATTTTTTTTTTCAGTTTTTTGTTAATTCTTTTGATTACTTCTGGTGCTGGTACCTCTCTAACACTTGCTTAAATCTCCCCTGCTTCAGCCAAGAGAACATCACTCGTTGAGGCTCAGAGCCTTTGGCAGGCACTAACATCTAACTGTAATTTATCGACATTGTTTTGTTTCTATGGTCTTTATTTTTAGGTTACCATTTACTTAAGGTAAATGATACTCTTTTCCATTTACAATAGTGACATGAGGTCACTTTCCTTTTAAAATAATTTACTTAAGCAAAACAATTGGATTGATTTAAAAGATATTAAATGACTAAGAGTACAGGTTACGGCAGTGAGGGCGGAATCAAGGAGGCGGCTGGAGGCTGACTACAGCCAGGGAAATTAGGATATAGATTGTGCCACTTTGGAAAGAATTATCTAAATATTTCTTCCTTCGGTATTTTGTAGTTCTTGTTTTTGATGATTCAAAGTAGTCTTGTAGCAGAGCTAAGCTACCTAATTCCCGAAGGCAATAATTTGGTAAATATTCCCCCAGACCAAGCATGATAGAAAGTGTGAGTGCTGAAGCCAAACTTCCTGTGTTCAATTCTTGGCTCCTGCGATGACTAGCTGTGTGACATTGGGCAAATTACTGTGTGTCTCTGTGCTCAACATCTCACCCTTATGATGGAGTTGATGATGTTGTGGAGAGGATTAAATGATCAATTGTACGTAAGGCACCGAACTGAGCATCTGACATACATTAAGTATGCAACAAGTGGCAGCTATTTTTACTATGGTTATGTCTGGCTTGAATGCATCCAGAAGTCAGTGTTGAAAGCTTTATACTAAGCTCTTGGATGTAGAATAACTCTGTCCTGATGCTCAAGATGTTTTACATCTTAAAGGTAGATTTTTCTCAAGTTTTCTACCAATATTCTTTTTCTGTTCCAGCTCTAATCCAGGATACCACATTGCATTAATCTTCACATTTACCTTAGTTACCTCTAATCTGTGACAGTTCCCCATTCTGTCCTTCTCTTTAATGACCTTGCCACTTTTTAGGACTATTGGTCTGGTATTTTGTAGAATTTCCTGAAGTTCATTTAGTAAAATGCTTTCTCACAAGTAGCCTGCTATTATAGATTTGGGGGAAGAATCCCCAGAGGTGACATGTCCTTCTCACTGCATCATATCACAGGGTATATGATGTCAATATGTCTTATTACTGGTGATATTAATCTTGAGTGCTTGGTTAAGGTGGTGTCTGCCAGGTTTCTCTACTATACTATAGAGTTAGTATTTTTCTCTTTTTATAGTCTGTTTGTTAGAGGAGAGCCTAAATTCAGCCTACACTCATGGAGAGAGAAATTAAGGTCTACCTCCTGAAGGGAGGAGTATCAAAGAATTTGTGAATATATGCCACCACAGTAATTAAGAAATATTTTGAGGAAGATATTTTGAAGCTATATCCTATTTTTTCCTTAAACTTTCACTCACTAATTTGAACATTTGTTAGTGGATCTTGCCTGTAGCTATTGTTACTGGGATGTTCTAATGGTGATTTTCTATTTCTCCACTTCATTCTACATTTATTAGTTGGAATTCTTATGAAGGAGGAGGTGTCTCATTCACCCCCCCATTCATTTATTTATTCAATTATTTGTTTATATCAGTATGGACCAAAAGATATTTACTTTATTATTGGGGGATATAATCCAGTACTAATACACTGGGAGCCTTTTCAGAAAGACCAGTGTCCTTTGACATGCTCTCATAATTTTTTTGAGCACTTCCTTACTTTCAGGTACTGCAGGATGCTCAAAGATCATCTTGATTTTCCCTGCCCCAGCCGAGAACCAAACATTTCTCCAAAGAACCCCGGTTCCTTCGCTTGGAGAATGGTATTTAGAAACCAAGATCTGAACACTAGGTGTTCTCATCGCTATTGGGATGTTACTGCTTCTAAATCCTTTCAGTGTATAGATTTAGGAATGTATGTATATATACTAACTCATGTGAACCCATCTCTCTTTCTCATCATCATCACAAATGAGTTTCTACTGATATCTCCAACACTAATCTAATACAACCAAGTTTATTCTAGCCTTCCTTTCTCTCTCTTGCTTATTTGTAGCTTCTTTCTCCAATAGTGAAAAGCCTTACTCTCAGGACTAATAGCAGAATGGAGATGACAGAAGAAAGAATCAGTGACTGTAAAGGCACACCAATAGAAATAATCCAATCTGAAGAAGAAAGAGAAAGAAAGATTGAAAAAAATGAACAAAACCTCCAGGATTTGTAGGACACTATCACAGGTCTCATATCCACGTTATTGAAGTCTCAGAGGGAGAGGAGAAAAAGAATGGGGCAGAAAAAACATTTGAAGAAATAATGACTGAAAACTGCTCAAATCTGGTGAAAGACATAAATTTACAAATTCAAGAAATCCAGGGAACCCCAAGAAGATAAATGTAAAGAAAACCACATCTAGATGCATTATAGTCAGAATACTGAAAACTAGAGAGAAAGAGAATATTTGAAAACAGCTAGAGAAAAATAACACATGACATAGTGGGCAACGGTAATTTTGATACCCACTGACTTCTTATGAAACAACATGGAAGCCAGAAAATAGTGGAACATCTTTAAAGTGCCCAAGGGAAAAATTGTCAACCTAGAATTCTATACCCAGCAAGTATATCCCTCAAAAAAGAAAGCGAGGTAGACATTCTTTTACATTGCCAGCAGATCTTCACTGGAAGAAAGGCAAAAGCAAACTCTTCAAGCTGAAGGGAAATTATACCAGAGGAAGTGCGGACCTCCAGGAAGGAATAAAGAACATCGGGAATGGTAAATATCAGGGTAAGTATATAAAACTATTTTTTCCTTTTGATTTCTTCAAAAAACATACGATTATTTTAGGAAGAAATTAGAATAGTGTATACGGAGATGTAATACACGTGACAAGTACAGCATAAACAATGCTGGGGGTGGGCTAGCTTAAGGGATAAATGATGGAACTATACAGTTGTAAAGTTTCTACATCTTATTTGAAATAGTGTAATATTCACTGAAAAATCAAGGGTATATGCTATAATCCCTAGTGCAACCTCTAAAAATCAATGTAAATATTTGTATTTAAAAGGCTACTAGATATATTAAAATAGAATTCCAGAATATATTTATATGGCCCAAAGTAGGAAGGAAAGGGGGAATAAACAAACAAAAACAGAGGAGACAAACATAACAAATAATAAAATGGTAGACCTAATTCCAATCATGTCAATAATTAAATATTAATAGACTAAACACTCCAATTAACACATAGTAATTTGCATTATGATTACCATTATTATTGCTGTGGATTGCAGAAGAGTGAGGTCATTCTCTGATCCGGCTAATCTTTTAGAATATCATACAACCCTGAGCATCGAGGGTTTGGCTTTGGGTTATCTGCTGCTTCTGGAAAAACCTTCCTTGTCTTCCCAGCAGGCGGGGTGCTCCTGAAGGGACCATCTGTCTGCCTCCTTAAGCCCCTGCTGAGTTCCCAGGCCTGAGGATGGAATTGGTCCTGACCAAATGCAGGGTATCCCAGAATCAACACCCAGGAGGACACAACAATCATGGAATCCAACCCGGCAAATGTCTCAGTTTCCCTTAATAGAAATCTCTCATCTGATATTAGTTTTTAAGCAGATTTTTTTAAAGGTAATCAACATGCACATTATATGTTTAAAAAAATGTGCAAAAAGTTTTGCAATTAAAAGTGAGCCTCCCTCCTATCCTGGAACTATAAATCAACAAACACAGATTTTGTTATGGGTTCAGCCTGAACCAACACTCCCAAGGGACTGTTGGCAGGGGCTGGGGAGGGCCTGGTCACACCAGCAACAGGAGGAGTTGGGTTTTACATTCTTCTCTACTCAAGCAGATGTCTGCCTCATGTTCTTTTTTTAGCCTTTGTCTATGTCCTCACCATGGGTAAGCAATAATAGTATTCCAGAAAGCTTGTTTTTATGGAGGAAAATCCAGCTAAGCATAATGGGTTGGTTCTGCCAGCTTTATAAAATACAGAATTTGCATTAAAAGGAAAGTCCTTCATAACTGAGAGTTGAAGGAGTACGGTTGGGGAGTGTAGCTAGAAATAATCTCTGCTGGTTAAATTTAGGGATTAAAAAAAAAAAGCCATTGGTAAAATGCTATCCGATATTCAAATGGTTTGGAATTGTTTCTCTTCAGAGGATAGGAAAGAGGGGATAAGTGAAGAGGTCATGGGCTATGGCATCCAGTAGAACTGGTTTTTATTCCCATTCTGCCACAATAGTGGTGGCAAGTCACTAAACACTAAGCCTCAATTTTCCCATCTATAAAATGATCCTGGCACCTAGTAAATATCCAACAAATACAGTTTTCCTACCCAGCTCTCCCGACTCCCTGTGTTTTGGTGTTTTCCAGTTACCTAATAACAAACCGTCCCCAACCCTAGAGGACTAAATGGACAAGACATTGATTTTGCTAAGTGCTAAAGCAGCTTCTGATTATGGCTCCTGGTATTCTCACCCTTGTCTGATCCTCTGCCCTTATCTGTGGCCAGACATAGTGATTTTCTCCCAATGAATGGGTATGGCGAACATGATGGGATGTCACTTCCTTGATCAGGTTATAAGATGGCTTCCATCTTGCAACCATTTTTGCTCTATTGCCATGGTTTACATGAAGTAAGCCACAGTGCGATGTGAGGCCCATGTGACAGAACTGAAGGCGATCCTGCCAACAACCACAGGAGTGAGCGGAGCCTTCCCCAGGGGTCCCTGGAGATGATGAAAGCCCTGGCCAACACCTTGATTACAGCCCTTGAAAGACCCTGATGCAGAGGACCCAGCTAAGCCATGTCCAGATGCCTGGTCTACAGAGGCTGTGGGAACATAAATATTGTTTCAAGCCATAAAGTTATAGGGTAATTTGTTATGTAGTAATAGGTAACTAATATCTCAGGAATCTGCAATTTGGAGAGGACTAGCAGGGATAGTGTGTCTGTCTTTTACTTGTCAGCTAGGTGCGTGTGGAAGCTGGGAACTGAAATCATGTGAAAGCTCCCTCCTTCCTTCCTTCTTTCCTTTCCTCTTTTCTGCCCTCCTTCCCTCCTGCACTTGTCTGGAGGTTAATTCTGGCTGTGGGCTGAGACCTTAGGTCGTTGTTGGCTGGAACGCACAAGTGTGGTTTCTCCATGAGGCTTGGGTTTCCTCATAGTAAGGAGGCTGGGTCTCCAGGGAGAGAGAGAGGTAGAGAGCTCACCAGATCAGACATAAGAAAGAAAGAGGGACAGAGAGAGGGATAGAGAGACGGAGGGAAAGAAGGAGAGATCGGGAGAGAGAGAGACAGAGAAGGAGAGAGAAAGGGAGAGAGAGAGAGAGACAGAGAAGGAGAGAGAAAGGGAGAGAGAGAGAGAGAGAGACAGAGAAGGAGAGAGAAAGGGAGAGAAAGAGAGAGACAGAGAAGGAGAGAGAAAGGGAGAGAGAGAGAGAGAGGGAGAGCACCAGATGGAAGCCATATCACCTTTTCTAACCTAGCATCAGGAAGTACAACATCCCTTCTGCTGCATTCTCTTCATTAGAAGAAAGACCCCAAGGCTGAGCAGTACTCAACGGGAGGGGAATTAGATTCTACTTTTTAAGCAGGATTGTCCAAGAATTTGGAAGAGCATGTGGGTTCAGAAATATTGCTATCCCTCCCTTTGGGAAATGTGATCTGCCACATTTGGGCCACTCAGTCTTCCTGCTTTCATCCAGTGTCCCCTCCGTCATCATTGCCTTACTTGAGTTGGCCCCCTTTAGGGGATAGGGTACCCAAGTAAGAGAAGATGTCAGAAAAGTCTTTTTCCTAAGTGGTTCCATCTGCCAAGGAATCAACTTGGCCATACGCTCTATCTGCCTTCGGAGGTCTCCCCACTTTGTTCTTCTTTGAAGACACAATTGATGTGATATGCCAAATATACTTGGATAGCCCATAACTGGGACAAGGAGGAAGCCCTGAAGGTCACTGAAGAGCCACTTGCTTGATGACTTACCAACTCTCTATGTAAACAAATCTGCAAAGGCAACACTTCTTGATGAGAGAAAGAAATAAAGTAGGGGAGGGATAAGAGACAAAAGAGAGAGAGGGGGAGAGAGATCACCAGATCAGACATAAGAAACAAATCCAGATAGATGAATGGGATTACAACAATGGAAAGAGGCAAAGAATGGAAAACATGAAATGTAAGAAAGCAATGACCCAATCCTACCCAGAATAAGGAAGTGGGTATAACACTGCTTTTAAGAAACAGCTTTATTGAAATATAACTTACACACTACACAATTCACTCACTTAAACTGTGCAATTCAGTGGTTTTTAGTATGTTCACAGGGTTGTGCAACTATCATCACAATCAATTTCAGAGCATTTTATCACCCCAAAAGAAATCTTGTACCCACTTGCACTCACTCCTCTTCCCCCTCAATCCTCCCAGCCCCAGGCAACCACTAATCTACTTTCTGATAGATTTGCCTTTTGTAGACATTTCATATAAATAAAATGATATAATATGCAGTCTTCTGTGATTGGCTTCTTTCAATTAGCAGAATGATTTCAAGATTCACTCACGTTGTAGCGTGATCAATATTTCTTTCCTTTTTATCACTGAATAGTATTGCATTGTGTTCAGACACCACATTTTATTTATCCATTCATCAGTTGATGGGTTTTGGGTTGTTCCCATTGTCTGGCCATTCTGACCAATGGTGATGCAAATATTTCATGTACAGGTTGTGGGCACGTGTCTTCACCACTCTTGGCTATATACCTTGGAGTGGAACTGCAGCATCACATGATAACTCTATGTTTAACATTTTGAGGAGCTTATAATTTGTTTTCCGAAGTGACCCCAGCATTGTATAAAAGTTCCAGCTTCTCCACATCTTTGCCACATCTTCTGTCTTTTGGGAGATGGCCATTCTAGTGGGTGTGAAGTGGCATTTCATTGTGGTTTTGATTTGCATTTCCCTGATGGCTGATGATGTTCCAAATCTTTTCATGGGCTTATTGACCATTTATAAATTTTCTTTCAAGAAATGTCTATTTAGATGCTTTGCCCATTTTTAAAATTGGGTTATTTGCCCTTTCATTGTTGAGTTGTAAAGTTTTTTTATATAGTCTGGATACAAGTCCCTTATCAAATACATCATTTGCAAATAAATTGTTCCATGCTGTAGGTTGTTTTCTTCTGTTTTCTTGATTGTATTTTTAGTATCACAGAAGCTTGTAATTGTGATGAAGTCCATTTATTCTATTTTTTCCTTTCGTTACTTGTGCTTTTGGTGTCCTACCTAAGAAGATTTTGCTTAACCCAAGGGCATGAAGATTTACCCCTATGTTTTCCTTTATGATTTTTATTATTTAACTCTTGCATTTAGGTCTTTGATCCATCTTGAGTCAATTTTTTGCATGGGTAAGGAAGGGATCCAACTTCATTCTTTTGCATGTGGTTCTCCATAACGCTTATACATTCACCTTATAAACACTGCTTTTCTGGACAAAGCAAGAGAAAGTGAGATCCACTTTTCCCTAAGTTCAACCGTATTTTAAACATGAGATTTCTATGACCCCTTCTCTTTCTTCACTTTCAATTCTTGTATAATGTGAATATGGGTACATTTCTAGGATAACTAATTGGGCCTCAGTTGTTCCATCTCTTAAAAAAAAATAAAGATAGTTATTCTCTTCCCTGGCTGCTCATTGGGATCATCTAGGAGCCTTGCAAAGTACCCCTGACTGAGTCTTGTGCCCAGGTATTCTGATTTAGTTGGTCTGGGATAGGTAGGGTC